TTGCAGCGGTAGAAAAACCTATGGAATCGTCGCTGGCAAAATCTTACACTTTTTTTTTCTCTTTTTCGATGGAAAATTCACGTTTTCTTCGTTATGGAGCTGATTTTGGATGCCCTAATTGAGATTCTGAGGAAGCCGATTATTGGAGACATCGTTTTGCAGCTGACTCTTTTCGCCGCGCCACTATGGATCTCCATTTTTGTTGGACTAGTGGTTGGATGGGTGTGGAAGCCAAGGTGGGCGACTGGGCTGGTCGGTGAAGAGAAAGGGTGTTTCGATGATGATCATAAGATGAAGCATAGTAAGAACTCTGTGTATCCATTTCTACAAATTTTTTCTTCCAGCTGACAGATTATCCTACCAGAATTAGCAGTGGCAGAAACCCTATCGAATCGTCGTTGGCAAAATTTTAGATTTTTTTTTCTCTTTTTAGGTGGAAAATTCGCGTTTTCTTGGTTATGGATCATATTTTGGATGCTCTAATTGAGATTCTGAGAATGCTGACGATTGGAGACATCATTTTGGAGCTAACTCATTTAGCCGCGCCACTAAGGATCGATGTTTCTGTTGGACTAGTGGTTGGATGGGTGTGGAAACCAAGGTGGGCGGCTGTGCTGGTCGGTGAAGAGAAAGGGTATACCCATCGCTGCTTGTCCGGATGGTGAAGAACCTGTTGGGCAAAGCCTAAGTCCCTGGTTTGAATTTCTTGGCAAGCAGTGAAAGCCTTAAGTGTTGGCCTGTATAAATTGATATGGGTTGTATGCTAAATTTACCGGGATTTACATTGGCCGTTCCTCGTCACAGAAAAAAAAAAGGAAAAAAAGGGTATTCCGATGATGATCGTAAGATGAAATCTAGGGAGAACTCTTATAAGTTGCAGGTTGTTGCTGGCTCTGCCGAGTTTGGATTCTTTGAGGGCTCAGATTCCGAGCTAGATCATTTCTCTAATGCTTGAGCAGATATGTGAGAAATGAGAGAAGGTAGTTGACTTGAGGTAAGTGAGTTTCTTGAAGATGATGACGTTTGTGATAAATGTGCTTATACGTTTCTTATGAATTGTGAAGCCCTCTCCCTCGGGCCGCAGCGAGATGACGACGTTTGTGAAAAACATATTTTAATGGGACAACGCCGATGAGGTTTTCGGTGTCAGGGTCACGCGATATTCCCGAGTCAACTCATGTTGGTTCGGGTTTTCTGGTCAATCCGAATCCGACTCAATTTTACAAACGAGTTGGAATTCTGAACCCTAATCGGACCCGTTTCTCAAATGGTTTGGCACTAACCCGGAATTTTTGGGAGGTTTGAGTCGGATTTTTGAATCGTGTCAAATATATTGACAACCTTAGGGTTTCTCGCCACTGATAATTCTGGCAGAGTAATATGTCAGCTGAAAGAAAAAAAAATAGAAATAGACGCATAATGGCAAAGTAAAAACCAACATGCTGGAAATTTTTTTAACGGTTTTTTATTTTTTATTTTTAAGAAAAATTATGCTTTGAAAAACAGAAGCATTGGCTCAAGCGGAGCACATCTCCCACACGCTAGCGAGCCCAACCTCCCGCATGCCAACGAGCCCTATCGTGCCCGTGAAAGGCGAAATCGCGTGAGGCTATGTCTTCGCGTGAAGCGGGTTGTGCAGGGTTAGCCCGGACCCTAGGCGGGTCGGGTTCGGGTCAATCAAATAGTGTCGGGTCAGTTTCAGGTTATACCTGAACCTGACCCAAAAACCTGATTTTGGCACCCGTATGTAGGAGTATTTAGACATATAAAATTTCAAAAGGATTAACATTTTGATATTTATAAGTGGATAGCTACATAAATAGCACAAGATAGATAGAGTATGGGAAAGTGTAGGAAAACTTGCATATTAAAAGCCCAATGGTACCATTAAGAGATCAATCATGCATTTTAGATAAAAGAGATCCTACCTACAATAAATCATCATCCCTTATGATCAATAATCCCCACAACTCATATGTTCAAATCATATGCGGTTCAAACACTGTAGAAAGCACATCATATGATAAAATTTTTATTAAATTTAAGCTTCATTTGGGACAGCTTTCTCACTGCTTTCTAACACTTCTAGTACATATTCGTTTTAAAAGCAGTGAAAAAGTAGATGTCAAAATCTATCCCTAATAAAACCTTAATCATAAACTGGTAAGTATGTGTAGGATCATATCGATAGCTACCTTTATGAATCGGGCCATAAATCTTACAAGCAACTATACAAGCTACAATATTTTCTAAAATCTAAGATAAGAGGATGATATTCTACTTCAAGTTGATTGATGTCCTCAATTTATCCACTATTTGAATTGAAACCAAAATGTATGGATTGGGATTTCAGTCATTTCACTCTTATCCCTGCTCTTTCTTAGAAGACTAAATGAAAGAAATTGAAATGAAAAAAAAAAAATGAAGTGAGAATGCATAAAGGATAGGGCTAAGGAAATTTTTATTAATTTATCTCAGATTAGTATTATGATCCATCGCACTAAATTTGTATAAATATAGATAAAATATTACATTCAATTAAAAACATAATGGCTAAGACTTTTTGTAAAATAAATACCAAATATATATAGAAAGTGCAATCACACATGCATATATCACTGGAGAATATCAGAATTCAACATATTATCAAATATTGCAAATCTAAAAGTTGTGGGATCAAAGATTGAATAATTGTTAAAATAAATCAATAAATAAATTTATTAATTTAAAAAATGATTGAACAATTGTTACCTTTATTTATATAAACGCGTAGGCCCTTATGTGAATTTTATTTAAAATTTTTTTTTTAGCAATTGTAAGTATGATTAGTTTGATATCAAAATACATGGATTGACATAATAGCTACCTTATTTGTGCTTCACAATGATAGAATATGCACACAAATAAAATTATTTTCATCTTAAAATCACCGGACATAGGCATGTATTGCATGCTAAATGATGTTAGCCCATTGTGCAGACATACAATGATCTTAGGCTTGTGAATATTACAGAGAAGATATTGAATTTAAGTTGAAGCCATCAAAAGCAAAATCATAAATGTTGTGTCATGGAACTTTTTTTATGGTAACAAGATGAAGAGCTTAGTGTATTAGCTTTCAACAAAGATCAAGCACACATACAGATAAAGAGGGAGGGGTGTAAGAGTCATAAGAGACACTAAGATTTTTGAAAAGGGGGGAAAATCATGAGCCTTAACCTAGTTAAAATGATTCCACTAGTGTTTTGCAATCGATTACAAATGGTGCCCTTTCTCAGGGGAAGGCTTTGGCTCCGTGTAGCAAATATACATCAAATAGAGCACATTAGATGGAAGGAGTGGGAAGAATCTAGTGATATGAGAGTCGCTCTTAAGATAGCGTTAGCCTGTTCGTTTGGTCGATAGGATTGTAGTCAAGCGACTGAGATTGGAGGGCCTATAGTCGGGCAACTGAGGTCATAGGGACCTTAGTTTGTGGGCGATATAGGTCAAAGGGACCATAGTCGGTGGGTTATGGAGGTCGGAGAGATCACAGTTGGTGAGCGATGGAGGTTGGAGGGACTGCAGTTAGTGGGCGACGGAGGTTGGATGGAATGCAGTCGGAGGGCAAAGGTGGTCGGAGGGACTGTAATCGGCTGACGACAAAGCTCGGAGGGGCCATAATTAGAAGATTAAGGTCGGGGGAATTGTCTTCGATCGACTATGGAGGTCGGAGTGACCATAGGTTGCTGTTGATGGTGGTTGGAGGGAGCATAGTCGGCGGGTGATGGTAGTTAGAGGTAGACCCAATGTTGGTGGTCGGATGGAGGTCTGATGATGATGATTAGACGAAGGTTTAACCGTGGTGACCGGGCAGTGAGGATTCATCGGTGATGGTGTCAGGGTGGAGCTCTGTCATTCTTCAAGCCTTATGACTCTCTTGATCTCTAGCCCAAGGTCTAAGTTTCCAAAGGTTCAAGACCCTTTCATGTGGGAAGATGATGTCTATTTATAGATTTTGATAATGGCATGCACCATAAATATGGATAAAATCTAGAGTGATTTTGGATTGCTCCATCGAACAGCTCATATTAATTCTCTCGATCATAAAGAGTTTGTCAAGCATTTAAGTGACTTAATGATGTCATAATGAAACAATCTTGGGTTCGTTGGATTCTCCTCGTTGAGCCACTTTATTTGACTCATGCCATATTTAGAGATCAATTCATCGTTCAATTAATACTTTGAACATTTCAAATATGTTTTGGTCCCTTAATTTGGAGTTTAGACCCATTTAGGCTCATATGGGACCGATTATTGTGTCATTGGGTTCGTCTCCTTTATACGTTCAATTTGACATTTAAGTTTACTGAAATCGGAGTTCAAATGGTCCCACATTCATTTTTGAAAGTTACAAATTAAAATATTCCTCAAGATTCATTCTCAATGAAAGTGATTTTTGATGATGCATCAATGAATAATCAATACAAATAAACAAAACTCAATCAAAACCACCTAAACTTCTAAAAAACCCATAAATTAATCAACATTACCGATTCAAAACTTATAACAATTTCTATTAAACATAGTTTTCCTAATCTTCTAAGAAATTAAACATCAAAATTATCAAAACCATAAAATGAAACAAAATTTACAGAAGTCATTAAATTGTATCATTACATAATTTTATAGTAAAGTGTGGTCTGCGGGTAGGTAAGCAATTGTGGAGCAGAACAAAAGCATTGGACACCCTGAAAGGAACCATGTTTTGCACAAAGTCTGTTGATAGTCTTACAGCACCCTTTAGGAATGATGGTGGGGATATTTTCAATAGGAAGCTCCATATCATCTCGTGGAAGGATACTTGTTTACCTAAACACTGTGGGGGCTTGGGGCTCCCTACAACTGATTCTTTATATCATGCTTTTGGGTGTTCACTGATTTGGAGATTTTTTAGCACCAATAATCTCCTCTTTAAATGTTGGAAGGGCAAATATGTTTCACTTTGGTGCACAGCAAACATGAAGAAGAGTATTTATTGGAGGTTCCTATGTGATGTGGTTGCTAGGCTCCCCTCCTCCTTTCAACTCAGTCTTACTGAAAATTCTTCCCTGTCCTTCTTTTGGGACCCTTGGTGCGGTGGATTATCTATTGCTGATAGGCTTAAATCTGAATACTTGGAACATTTGATTCAACCCAATAACCTTCCTGTTCACTCGGTTTTGGTCAATAATATTTGGAATTTGCCTGTCTCTTTGCCTCCCAGCATCAAGGCAGAGATCTTAGCCGTCCCCATTTCTACTGGCATGGGTAATTGTCTCTGGACGGGCACTGATAAACCTGCTTTCAATTCTTTTCACAAAGGCTTCTTTTTAAACGAACAAACTGTTACTTGGTTTAAGCATGTTTGGCATAAGCGTTATGCTTTACGCTTCTCTCTTACTACTTGGATGGCTTTTCGTAATGGCCTTAAAACTGCTGATAACCTTATTGCTAGAGGTTTGGCTGTTAACACTTGTTGCATTTTTTGTCATCATTCTGAGGAAAATCATAAACATTTGTTCTTTGAGTGTGAGTTTACCTTCCAGGTGTTGTTGAAGGTATTTCCCTATTTTAACCGTATGCTTCTAAGGCCTAATCTAGGTCAAGCCTTTCAAAGCATTGAGGATTGGGATATGGATAAAAGAAGGAAAAACTATTGCTTTATGCTTCTTTGTGCTATTGTTTACTATCTTTGGCGAGCACGAAACGACAGGCTTTTTGGCAACCTGATTGATTGTCAAAACACTATTATTGCCAAGATCAAGCGTACTGTGAACCTTAAAACTGCAAAGTGGAAATGACTGATCTGGTCTTCGATTTTCTGGCATTTGCTATCCTCTCGTGCTCCACCTGCTGGATGAGGTCCCTGCTGCTAATCGGGCTAATGCATTACCTGGAGGGCTATCTTTGGCATCCAGGTTCCGCCTTTTTGAAGGACAATGATGAGAGCATTCTATTTGCAGCCCCTTTGGACGGCCGACTGGCAACCAGGGGAACCATACATCCTGAAGGATGAATTTTGATACCTGGGTGATCTTCTTGTGTAATGCAATTCTGAGTCCTTCTTTTGTTTTACTCATTCCTGTTTTAGCTTTTCTTTTTTAAGCAGCTAATTGCTGATAGGGTTTTGTGTCTGCTGCCTTTTTGCTGTGCTAGCAGACTTTTCACTTGTATTTCTTTCTTCATTTTTAATGAAATGGGCTAAGGCCCCTAATTTCCCCAAAAAAAAAAAAAAAAAAAAAGGAACCATGTTTAAATATGGACAGAAAAGTGAACAGAACCTACAGAGCTTCACTTTGTTACCCCCATTCATGACAAAAAAGCTAAATAAAAGAGAAAGCAGAGACAATTTCTTTCTCTACTTTCCTGTAGCTCTGCAAGTTTCCGACTGCATTTACAGGAAAAAAAAAAAAGGAAGAGAGCAGAAGAGAACAAGAGAAATAAAAATAATCACAATAATAATATGCAAGGAAGCCGCCATTGATGGATCTTGAAGAATTATACATAAATATCTTCATCTCTCTTTCTTCAAAGCAGTTTTCCTCGCCCCTTCTTGCCTGCATTCCTGTACCCAAAGATTGAATAGAATGAAGATGAGTGAGATAATGGAGTTACTCTCTTCTCCATCTGTAGTGGACAGAAGGAATATCCTGTGTGACACTTATCAAATATTTACTTGACATATGCAATCAAACTTACTGGCGTTGGATTTAGTTGAGAAGAATAATCCAAATTATTTTTCAGTTCTTCCTTATCCTGTAGAAGCAGAGGAGACCTTCTTACACTCAGTCTTCAGATCAAAAGAAGAAGAAAAAAAAATAATCATACCTTGAAATGATTTACAGAGAAACCACAGGAGAGCTCCATGGCATGATTGGCATCCTCCACTTGAACCTTCTTGTAATCCTTCTAAGAAGAATGAGAATAAATTTAGCTGCAAGTGCACAGAGTGAAGAAATAAAGAAAACCACGAAGATGAGGCTTTGCCTTAGAGAAACAGAGCAAGGGAGAACTAGCAGAGTCATCCATGAATGAAGATTCTTCATGATTTCTTCTTTGCTTCTGCTTCTTTCCCTCATTCTTAGATAATGTAGTTACAGGAAGGATAGGTGAAGAGGATATACAGTCATCTTCGACATTAGAGCAGTAGTAGAAGTTGAAGTAATCATCTTTATTAATATGGGTATGGGGAGGACCAGAAGATGCATCAGAGAGCATGGAAAGGTCTTCTTCTTCTTCTTCTTCCTGTTCATGAGTAGAAGAGTCTCTTGTAGGAGGAAGAGAGGTGCTGGTTGCAAGATACAGAGTCCAGCCAGATTGAAAGCCACTGCTGCTTTTAGAGAAGGATTTTTCTGCTTGAATCAAGAATTTCTCCAAGTCTTCATCTTTCTCCATTCTCAGCATTGATGATGAAATATGTGTCTTGTTTCTCTCTTTACTGGGACATGGCTAAAGTAGGAAGATGCAGCAATATGTTGGAGTAGAGGATTTTTATTATTATTATTATTAGTGTTCTTTATTTTCTTATAAAATAGATAAAAACTTATTATCAAGATTTTATATTCGGAATAAAGTTGAACATTATTTTCTTAAAAATGACAAAATAATATTTGAAGCCAATAAAAAATATTTGATATGTCTATATAAAATTTATATGATCTGCATGAATCCTGAGGTAAAATATAAATTAGATTTTTTTAAATTAAATTTAGAATCATTTGAATTCTGATTTCAATAAATTTATAGACAAACTGAAAGTCTTGATAAGACGAACCCAAAGATGTCAAAAAATGATCCAATTCGAGCTTAAGTGACACAAAATCAAACTCTTGATGCATAATTAGAAACTTTGAACATTAATTGAATAGTCAAATCTCCAAATAATGTATCAAATACTTGATTTAGTCTCATCTAAACTTAGATCGTTAGATCGGGTCTACTGCCGAGTGATTGATGGGAGAAATTCCTCCTATCTCACCCGAGCTCAAATCCCCTAACTATTAAAAATAATAATAATAATAATAATAATAAAAGATTTAGATTGCCTAATCTACTTAAAACAAATCAAAATCTTCACAATGTAACCAGTAGTACATAGCATCTTAAATAAGCATAATTGATGTCTATTTCAATTTGAGGGGAAACTTATTTGTCATTATTTACATGCTTTTGAAATAGATATCCCATCCCTAACAATCAATGATCAATAAGTTATCCCATCCCTTTAACTTGGTTTACCCACTCAAATCGTGGATTTATTATTCTGTGCAGATGTCGAATGTCATCTGGAGACCAATCAGAATGTGATCAATCATGATGTGTCACGCCGCCCTTGTGCTTGGTACCGCGGCTCGGTACTACAGACATGGTACATTCTGATTGGTATCTAGACGACGTTCTACGTCCGGTCTGAAGAAACCCAATGAGGGTTCAAGAAGCTCGAAGA